GGCGTAAGCTCATCAGGCCTGAGCTGCCCTCGACGAGTGGCTGCATTTCTATCTGTTCATCGGTGTCCATCTTTTCATCAAGCATATTGCTATCGACTGGAGTACTTCAAGAGCAGCACCGGCAGGATAATTATAATCCTATTTTATTAGAAGATCTACTAGTACCACCGTGTCTGTATGGTGTGTAGGAGAGAAAAAGAATGGGAGAGAAAAAGTTCGTTGGCGTTTTGATCTGCGGTACCAGTACCTGGTACCGGTTACCAGTTACCAGTATCAGCAGGGGTATTTCAAGGTATCTTTTGAAGTGCTGTACTAGTACACTGTACCCGCAGGCAGGGTGCGGAAATTTAAAAATGGGATTTAGAGCTGCCAGTTTCACGCAGGCTTGCGTGAAATTAGCTGTTAGTTTCACGCACGTAAAACAGTTACTATGCATGCGTGAAACTATGTTCAGTCGTGCGTGAAACTATCGGTCACTAGAAATCTTGCGTGAAACTAGCCGTGTTGCTGCGTGAAACTAGCAGTTTCTTGCTAGTTTCACACTGTGTGAAACACTGCTTGAAACTAACGGTTAGTTTCTCGCAGACTTGGTGATTTAAGTCCCGTTTCCGCACCCTGCTGCATCAGAATGTCTTCTAAAGTTCCTTCCTTCCTTCCTCCAGTCCGTGGCCAATACAACATGTATTGTGGGTAGTATCTTTTCGACCATGGCAATAGTGTTATCTTCTTGGACTTGTTGGAGGAGGAGATCCATCTACCCTCTTTTAGCAACTCTTGTATTGCTACAGGTGTTGCCAGAATGTGCCGCTTGGTCGCTGTTTCCCAGGATCTCCCTTCCGAAACGTCTCTCTGTTCGAGGATTTGACCGCACGTACTATGGTCTATCCCAAAACAACACCATTCCCGATCCCCTCGAAGTGGCTGCAATAGTGGGTGTTCGACCTTGCATGATGGCCCCCAAGTTGGTATGGAAACTGGCATGGAGAGGTCATGGAGCACTCTTGCCGTTGCTTCATGTGGGGGATGGCGCCAAACCTCGTGATAGCAAACAATCCCTTAAGGTGCTCTGGTGCAAGGCCATTTGCCAGTATGGACAAGACTTCCAAAGTGTTTGATGATAAATGGACCTACGATACATTACCAAGGGGCAGTCGATGGTTGCTGCGAATTCTACCCACAAGATGGTTTCCGCGGTTGCATCATGCCAACATTGAAGCCAGAACGGCTTATCTGGACCAAATTGTACAAGGCGAAATAATGGATCGAGTACGACCACACGACAATGCGATCCAAAACATTCGACTGATATCCGTGGGAGCTGGCTACGATGTTCGGTGCAGTCGGCTGCTGTCCCAATATTACGCAGACCACGACACTATTGAAATGACAGCCTACGAATGTGATCTGGATCACGTCGTCCGGTCCAAACAAAAGATTCTTGACCGTATCCAACGTCGTCGACCTCAGTCTCGCCACCCCACACTGATACCCATGGACCTCAATGACCTGAATGGGACCGTGACACAAATTCTACAAAATATTATTCTGCAAGATGGCAACAACAACAACAATAATCAATCCACGCACACCATTTTCATTTCCGAAGGTGTCATGATTTACTTGAACCAGGGTGTTCCCAGTGGTTTGCTGCAACTGTGCTCCGAAACAGCACTACAAGCGGGAAACACGGCCTCGTTTTGTTTTGCGGATCGATTGGAGAATGTACCAGGGGGTGACCGAGAGGCAGCTATGCTGGAACTGTCTCGCAATGGCTGGGAACTGATAGACTTTTGTCCCAAGCCAGGATTGGCCCGTCATATGGGTCTCGCAAGGTTATTATAGTGTCGGAAAGGGATCGGTGACAATAGTCTTGAGCAACGCTAATGCTACTCGAAAACGGCAATTTTGATTCATACAAATGTTCTGCCTACTAGCTAATATTTATTAATCGACCGCATCATAATCGCCATCGTCACCATCCAACCTCGTAATTTGCACCGATGTCGTATTGGGCCGCTGGAGTGATTCCGACACCATCATGTCACTACTTCCATCAGGCGTCCCTTGTTCGTCTCGTCTCAAGAATTGGACGCATTCATTGATACGTTCCGAAACGTTTTCCTCTTCTTCCACCATATCGGCCCATTTCAAAATGACATAGGTTCGTGCCAATCGGATGGTTTCCCGTGATTTTCGCCCCGACGCGCACAACAACAGCAACGTTTCGACCAGAAACAATCGTGTCGTGGCATCGGGTTCTCGTACCTTGTCCGGTCCTTCCAACCACAGATCGGGATCCAATCCCTTCTTTTCGTCCAAATCCAATTCTTCCGGGCCGGCCAGTGGATACAATACGGGCGTCATAATCTTGACTTCGTTCAAGAACCACCATGCCGAATCGGTTTCCAAACAGCAATTGCGAATCGTGCCGGCAATGCCACGACGACGAATGGGATTGGTATTTCGCAATTGTGGAAGAATCGCTTGAAAGACAGAGGAGGACGCGTTGTTTTCGTGGCGACGAATCTTCAAGACAAATTTGCGTGCTGCTTCGGTTTGCGTACAATTCATGAGAACGGCCGCAAAATGTTGGTACGGATCGTGATAATCACTGTCTTGTTGCGCGTCATTGTCGTTTGTCAACATGTGGGCAGCAATATTGTCATCATCGTCATTTTTTGTTGTCGTGTCTTTTTGGGGTGGAGGACTACAAAATTCGTCTCGCAAAAATCGCGACAACATGAGTTCCAACAAGGGTTTGGTGGGTAATTTTTCCCGTTCTTCCGGCGTCAATGCTTCCGGTGCTACGGCTTTTTCGGGGAGTGTCTTTCCCACCAATTCGACCGCACCCACTTCATCCCGCGTGAGGTTGGCCAAAATGGCCAGTGCAAAATTGACGCGCTTTTTCCATTCGACGAGAGGATTGTTGTTGTCGTTTGTAGTCGTAGCAGGTGGAGGAGCACTCAAAATGACTTCCATGACACGATTGATCCCTCCGGCCAACAAGAGTTCTTCCAAGCATTTGTGGCTGGTGGATGAATTAGAGGAAAGAAGGACCACGGCTTGCAACGCATTAACTCCAATGGTCGGATTGGAATGATTGAAATTCTTGGCCAACGGCTTGACGAGACCATTGGCAATCATTTTTTCCATTCCTTCGGCGTCGCGGACTTGCAACACGGCCTCGGTGGCCGCCAGACGAAGATCCACTCGTTCGGCTACCAAAAATCCCGTCAGGTCTTGGTACACTTGACTCTCATCTTTGTTGGCTCCCGTCATACTGTACTTCTGCTGTGTGCTTTGTTCGGTAGCGCTGCAGTGAAATGGGCTCTCAAAGAATTGGTGGAGAGCAAGAAACGGAACTTTCTTGTTTCCTGTTTTCTTGGTGGTGCTCGTGGTGGTGTCAAGCTTTGTCACCAGGTTATGAGCCACACACGAATGAAAGATATTTTGTTCACTTCAGTAAAGCACAGGTGCCACCATACAGCCGTACTAGTACATCGTACCCGTACCGATAGTACAAGTTTTATCGGACCGGTACCCCTGAACCTGGTGCGGTACAGCTACTAGTACGTCTCGGACCAACAAAGCGACGATCTGCCGAGGCTGGGCTTGAGATGTTGCTACTAGAGATAGCAGGGGTCATTGAAGTTGCCCGATTGTTTGTGGTGATATTAATTAAAGGCTAGTGAACAGCACGGCACGTCGAGCTATTAATAGCTACCGGTGCACGGTACTCCAGCAAGTGAGCGAATCGAATCTGACGCCCTCCGATCCACACCTTGCAGTTGAATTGGAATTTACGACAATCTACCTACATATCTAAAACTACTACACGTGACATCCTCATATCCTCGTAGCCTCTGCTAGTAAAGTTCCTTGTATTGGGGTGGTGCACCGGTACCATACTCCAGCAAGTAAGTGAAATGAGGTTGCCGAAGCTGACGCCGCGACACCTTGTAAGGTGAAGTGGAATGTTCCTCAATCTATGCTACCCGCAGTATGTTTTTGCATCCTGATATCCTTGGAGTTGGATTGCATTGCATTGAATTGAATTGAATCAGAGCCAGTGGATCGTGTGGTTTAGCAGCTCCAGCGGCTATGCAACGGCCCGATCCTGGGGCTACGGCATCTGAAATTTTCGTTCCGACCAAGGCCTTCCCACCCTCCAAATGTGTTTTGCCACTATTGCAACTCCACGATGAATGAAATACAAGTGAGAAAGGAGCTGGTGCACACTCTAGAAGAATGGGGAGTCAATGATCTGAGCAAAAAACATCACGCTGACTTCAGAAGCCGTGTTCTCCGGGAGGGGGTGGCCCAGTTCCGAAAGACGAGTCGCTCTGCTACATTTGAGCACCTTCGACACGAGAGATTTCCAAAAGACTACGAAGAAGCCATTCGACACTTCATGACGTGCGAACTTGAGAGTGCAGAAGAGATTTTCCGATACTCCTGCATTGATCGGCTTGATGACGTATACGACGTACCTTCCTTCGCTCCTTATTTTCGTGTCTACTCTCGATCAGATCCGACCAAAGTTTTCGGTTATAGGATAAGGCCAGCCTTCAGCAGTATCCCAAAAAGCCGTTTGGACCCTTTCGTACGATTCCGGTTTCGCTTCAGCGGGCTCAAAGTCTCGGAATCAATCTGGCAGCATTGGTTCCTGGGCTCGGACGCTGCTGCTTTGGGAATGATCTTTGAAGCCATCCTGGCATCTCATGCCATTCACAATGAAGCCTGCTTTGAATGTAAATCACGAAACAGTTTGCGTTGGAACGGTGGCTGGGAGAGTTCTTGGATGGACCTGGTTTGCACATTTTGTAATTCCACGTGCGAAATCAAGACCAAAGCATCCATGGAGAAGTGCGAGACCGTATTTGAGCACAGCAATCTTCGAGGTGGACTTTACGCTAACTATTGGAAGCACCGAAATGCCATACGAGATAAGCATCAAAAGATGTTTCTCGTGATACTTCCGCGAGAATGGACTCTGGGTCGTAATGGCAAGCGCATTCGACCAGTTTCGTGCGTGGAGATTGACTCTGTGTCGCCAGAGTTGGTACCTTCTTGTTTCCTTCCAGAGCAACTCCCTCCTGGCCTCAACCCGAAACAACGAGAACAGTACGAGAACCTCAGCATCAGAGGGCGTGTCGTGCTAAAAGCGAGCACCAAAGCGAAATGGTTTGACCTGGAGAAGTGGGAACCTCCCATTGACTATGGAATCATAATGGAGGAACTGTTCATTGCACGATACTCTCGGAAAGAGTTTGATAGAATCGAAACAATGTTTTGTGGCAGTGAAGACGAGGACGAAAGTGGCGACTGCATAGTCAACGATCAAACTCAAACGCAGGAACAGCCCGAGTCAACAGTGAGCCAGAAGGAAGCACTACTTGAGAAACTGAAGGATGCTGAAAGTGTTGAAAACTGGGAAGACCGCAGCGATTGTTCTGTATAACGTGCTCAGGCATTCCAACCTCGACTTGGCATTCATATTTACAATCGTTGGCTAGCTAGTACTGCTGTGATACACTGTACAGTTCCAGGTTGTGTAGAGCCAGCGGCATGCCATCATGGATACTCTCTAGGTCGACCACAGGGAGAAGGCGCAGGGTATGCCATGGTAGCTAGGTGGAGACACCATCCATCCTGCAACGCATCAGTCCAAGAGGTATAATATCATCTGGTGTCTCCTCATCCTCACAAAATAATGCATCGTTCACAGACACCTGTCGATTGGTTCTGGATACAAAAAAGCTTGGCTTGATTCTGTTACATTCTCAGACCCCCCAAAAAAGGACCTGTTTGAATGCAAGGGTCAGGTAGCAAATTCCTGGCTTTGTCTTCCATCTCTAGAACCCCCACATAAATGTAAGGCTCCGGTTCAGAGTCCCTGTGGGCACCTTCAATTTCCCATCCTTGAAATTTGCTGCTCAGTAGCTCCTAACTAATCATAATTGTGTTTTTTGTTCTCCTTCTTCTTGCAGCGCAGGCTTTAGTTCCAGGTCCGATTCTGTTAAAACTGCTGGCCTTCTTGTGGTTGATTCTCCATTATTGCTTCCTCGCAGAGCAGGCTTGAAGTGTGATGACTTCAAGATGCTTTTTCCCACTGTCATGCCAGCAGGAAGTCCCTTCTGTTGATATCTAATCTTGGGGACAAAAACAAACAAGAGAACTCCAAGATCTGTCAACCCAATAATGCAGACAAGAGCAATATGACGGGCCTCGGAGGAGTCCCCAACCGCAATCAAAATGGGAACCCCAAGCAACAGAAACTCAAACGCAAACAAGGAAGCCAGGGTGATGTATTTGGATTCTTGGTAGCGGTCTCTAACCCCACGAAGTTTCCAAAGCAGCATATTGGTCGCAATCATAATGGTCAGGTGAAAGCTCAACAAGGATCCAAGCCAGGCTCCCATATTGTCAGATGAGCATCCTGCAACAGACTCTGTAGTCATGATGCCAGCTTCTTCATCCACAGTAGTCCCCACATCATCTCTAGTCCATGTCAGCGGATCAACTGCAGTCCAGGCAGTCAACACAGCCCAGTTGATTACCAAACACCCAAGAACCAAATAGGCCACATCCCATGCTGTCACACTAGTACGCCGCATTGCAGTGGAATTTTGCACCATCTGAAACATTCTGTAGGACTTGGCAAACAAGCTGGCATACTGGGTAATCCATCCTGTGCTGTAGAGCCACGGAATAGTTATGCAGGCCGCAGATGCAGCGCTTGTGTTGTCTTTTGTCCCAGCTTGGATGGAGAGTGGGATGATGGAAGAACTTGATATCATGGAACCCAGACAGATCAAGAGAAGGAACTCAATTTGACCAATTTTGACCACAGCGTCATGGCGATGAATAACAGTCCAAACTCCAAATCCAAGGGAACAACACAATGACAGCGACATGATGCAGTATCCAAAAGCTAACAGCCCTCTCGGAATTAGATTGTCTTCCACCTGATGGCATATTGCAGCACCCGCGGAAGCATCAGTCCCGGACCCATCTTTGCAGGGTTGGCACTCATATGATGACATTCCCACCATTCGATAAGTATCGACAGGGCAGGGACTGCACTTGTCTGTGAGTATTGAGCTCTCTTCGGCAATTGCTGATTGATTCACAAAGTAACTAGCTAGACAATCCAAAGCTGTGGGAGCTGGCACTTCAACTGCAACTTCAGCTTGGTCTATGGGCGACACAAGGAGTAGTTCCATTTCAGTCTCATTTGTTGATGAACCAAAAGGAATCCCCCATTGCATGCCGGCTGACCCCCTTCCAATGTTTCTTTGGTTCTCGTCAAAACTGGTCAACCCATAGAGCGAGCGACGCACGCTCAATCCCAACAGGTGGCGGCGAATTTCTTCATACTGATTTTGGTATATGTCATGGACATTGGGGAAATCCTTCGTTTTCACAAAACTTGCTGTGTTTTTGTACATGAGGTAGATTGCATGGTAGGCCCCCAAGGCACCATAGGCCGGAGCATAACCAAACCATGATTCAAGATAGTCCAGCATGGCCTGTCCATTCGGGAAGTACTCATCAGAGTACATCATTGCCTTGTGCCATTGCCCGCCTGATTGTGTATATGGTAACCGTTCTGGGAATCTTTCTGCATAAGCCCAGGAAGCTGTAGTAAGCCACAAAGACGAAGGCCGACATCCATTCTCCTTCCAACGGTCCAGTACAGTATTGGTTTCAAGGTCAGTGAGGACACATGCCCAAATTGCGGTTTGAGGATCATCATTGCTGGCGGTTTGGTTTGGTGGGCACATATCATCTGCAAGAGCTCTCAAGAAAGCCACATCATGCTGATTCTGCACCCCATTATCATCGTGGTCACCCTCAGGATTGTATGAGATTGCAACAGCATCGGTAAATCCATCCTGTAGTGCATGCTTGTAGATCTCCAGGCAAGTAGAGTTAAAAAACTCTGACCTGTCTCGGTGTAGGATTCGTATCTTTTGTTTGGTCCTGTCCTCCACACTAAACTTCAACGCCTGAAATGCTGGTATTCCATAAGTTTCACTTCGAATATGAACACCAAAGACATAGTCATTGGAGTCTTGGGTGTAGAATACGTCTGGGCCCACCTGGCTCAATACAATGGTTTGGTACTCTCCAGCGATCCTCTTGTCGTGTTTGGCAACAAATGAGCTGGATCCCATGATGTATTGAGGCTTCAGTGAACCTATCATAGACTCAAGAATGCACTCATGGTTTTTGGCATAGGTTTCAGGTGACATGTGCTGAGAGTTGCCAGCGATTGCGATCACTAACCGAAACTGAAGAAAGTGGTCACCATTGAATCCAATTTTGGCACCTCTGCCGTGGTTGTCTTCGTTAATTTTCTGCACTGCAACAACAGCACCATCACGATGTTGGGGATAATGTGAAGGAAACACCCCCACGACAGTGATAATGCTGCTGTGGTTGTGTTGTGCTTCTGTGATATTGTTGGGTGCAGGGAAAACATCATGTAAAATGCATGGCTCAATGATTGCTGTGCTATCTGATTCACCCAGCTGCTTGGTGGTCAGATTACATATTGGCAAGTAATCATATTGAAGGGTGGAATTCAGATTGATGGCGGGATTGCTGGCTTCTTCAAGAATATTTCTTCTTGTCGCTCCAGCCTGGTCAAGGTTGAATAAAATGGCTCCTACTGCCAGAAGAAGGACAAGGCCGATATCAGGTCCTCTCATGAACACTTTGTTGTTTGTTCCTCAGCGACAACGGGTTAATGTACTTTTTGTCCACTATAGTGCGGTGTCACTAATAACGTGGTATGAAGGAAGAAACGTATCGCAGCCGCCTCCAAAAGAGAGTTGTTGTTGGACTGTTCTCAGTGCATTCGAGTTGCTAGCTAATGGTAAAGTACTAGTACCGTTGAGGTTTCGTCTTCGTCGATCTCTTGTCTCTTCCCGTGATGTCGCTGCAGCTGTGCTCTTTTTCCCTTGCCAAACCTGAATGAATGTCACTATGTCACTCAATCGAATGATAGGATCGAATTCAATCGACTGGATCGAATGAGAATGATCAATCGACTGCATGGTAGTAGTAGTCTACATGTGGCCGTGCCCTGCACATGCCCACAAGAATCAGAATCAGGTCCTATTGCTTGTGCAAGTAAGCGGATACATATCTTGTTCATTTGCATCTATTTGTTACCAGTACAATCTATCATATGTATTTCATTCCAGTATTCGATGTCTCTCCTCAAATAGAACCAAGTCTGGGGACAAGTCGTCGTCCGAGGACATAAAGGCAGCAAAATGATCCGTATTGGATACCCTTCCCAAGTACGAACTGTCCCTGTATCCATATCGGTACCAAGAACACAACTGTTAGTACTAGCAGATCAGCCAACAGCAAGCCCACACATAGTTTAAAAGCAACGAATCTTCAATCTCGTCTATAGAATATGGGTGGCATTTCCATAGGGCGGACTGGACAGAGCCAAAATTGAATGCATGTGAGAGACAAGAACACTTGAACATGGCTAATTTGGTTGGTAAGCCATATTCTATCTTTACTACATGTAATTTGGTTATCATCTATCCTATCCTAAGGTACGGGCTAGCGACCAAGTTGCTCGAGGACCTATGCGTACAGGTAAATGAGCATCGGCACAGGAAATGCCACAAAAAACTAGGAAAATCAAAGGAGGGATAAACGAATCCAATAGGAGGATCCCTTGACACCCACTCTATTGTGTGTATTGTCGCCTTATCAACTCGACGACCATAGGCTCCTGCTGATAGGCTGAAGTCATCAGTTCCGCAGCGATCGATCGAGGACTTGGGCATCGAGGAAAATGGATACCGACACAGGAATCACCACCAAAGGACTTGGAAATAACAAAGGAGGGATGAATATGCACCGTGGCTTTTCATCAACTCGACGACGATTGCTCATGCTCGTTCGTGAAGGCTGGCTGGATTTGACAGAGCCACCTCCGTAGGTGATCGATCGACAGCAGCCTCTTGCTCTCCGTGCGAACGGAGGCCGATGTGCAGTACGATGTAGACATGGGATGACACAAAAGAATAAGCTAAAAAGAGTTCCGTAACATTCTTCTAGGACAGGAGATCGTTTGTACATACGACCCACAAGAATCTTACATGGTAGAACTTCAATACCGATCGCCGTAATGCGATGGGGCCTTATTCTGGAAGAATACGGCCCTGAACTACGGTACATCAAGGTCGAACAGAACATCGTCGCTTGTGCGTTGTCGAGACTTAAACGTTTCAACAACGACGGTTCTTCAGAAAAAATGGAAGCAAGCGAGATCGCTGAGCTCATGGCTGCTGACGAAGAGGACTTCCCTGGCGAGTTCCCTCTCTCGTTCCCCGAGATCGAACATCGTCAGAAAGACGACAAACATATCAAGGACTCCTCAAGGACAAGCCAAACGACTTACAATAAGCAATCTTTCCCCAGGAGGGATTAAGTCTTACGACTTAGTAGTCAAGGACGATAAGATCGTCGTACCTTAAAACTATGCAGAAGAAAGCTAGGTGAATGGTACAATGGTGTGCTGATGCATCCTGGCGAGAGTCGCACAGAACTAACCATCGGCCAACACTACACCTGGAAGGGCCTGCGCAAGACTGTGCAGGCCCTATGTCAGCGTTGCCAAAGCTGCCAGATGACAAAACCCAAGACGCGTAAGCTGGGATTAATGCCTCCAAAGACTTGCGAAGGGAGACCCTTGGGAAAGACTGTTGTATTGACTTGATAGGTCCTTACAACGTCGCGGATCCCAAGAAAAAGAAATCCTGCACACTTCATTGATTGACAATGATTGATCCCGTAACCGGATGGTTCGAGATTGCAGAGATCTGCTCCAAGGCAGCAGACGAAGTAGCCATCGTTCTCGAACAAACGTGGCTTACTCGTATCCATGGCCTGCTGAGGTATCATGGATAGAGGACGGGAGTTCCGCGCAGAGGTCGAAAAGGCACACTCCGGGTGAATACGGACTTCGTCGCAGTTCATTACTACGCGCAACCCTCAAAGCCAACTCTATGGTCGAGCTTGCTCATCAAACCATACGTAACTTGATCGCTGTTCAAAAACATCAAGTGCCAAAACGCCTTGTGAATGGATCCTGGGATAGAGTCCTCATTGGCGGTTCGCTTTGCAATGATTGCCACGATTCATACCACCTTGCGGGCAACGCCCGCACAGCTCGTGTTCAATCGTTACGCGATGCACAACGTCCGTTTCGAAGCCAACTGGAGGTACATTAGGGACGTCGCCAACGACTAATCCAACAAAAACAACGACAGGGAAAAAGAGACGCGTGTCCCTCATCAATACGATGTCAACGATACCGTTGATGATTCAACAGTATTAGCACCGCAAGTATGGTCAGCCAAAGGTCCTTAACACACAGACCGAGTCAATGACAATGGCACTGTTCGTCTCCCAAACATGCTACCGCAACGGCGGCACAGTCTACCAGACTTGGAAATTAAGGTATTATCACCCATACAAGGCCTGATCCCCTTGTAGGATTGCCATGGTGCGACGCACATGTCTTACATCCAATCTCCGGAGGTGGCCCCGCACTTTAAATCATATGTTCTCCTGTTCCGACTGCTGTCGCGCCCCTTCTGTGACCCTTGTCAAGGGGGCGATATGCAATACACGGCTCTTAGCCTTATTCGCGACTCGATCCTAGATAGGGTTTAGTTCGACTCATGACTAAGTCTCTCGTGAATAGTTCTTTTGAGACAGGTTTCTCAATGACCGCGCTAGTCATACTAGGTTGATGATGAAACATGCTCTTAGATATCTTAGCCAGCGTGGAGTACTTTCCCGCTACTAATCCAGGGTAGACAAACCTTCCACGCGTCCGTTTTAGATCGTGGAGAGACGTAGTTATTACTTACCGCACCTACTCTATCACACTTTTTAGTCTCCCGCGGGAAGCCACAGTCTAAGATCCCCTGATGATGATCTCTCTCGTTATTGTTTTTCATAGCTTTCTAATCCTCTCTCAGAACTTTCAGTCTCTTCTCAAAACTCAAAACACTCGAAAGATCTTTACACTAGCTTTTAGCGTAGTGCACTTCGTCGCAACATGGTTTCGAAGTTTGCAAGTGGTTACACGAGTATCGTCGATCTCGTTTTCTTCTCCATATTGTCTACGGGAGGAAGAATGGGTTGGTCACGCAAACTGTTTCTCGAAGTTGGAGAACGCATGCTTTCCTTGAGCCATCTTCGTGGTGAAGGAATAGGGTTAGGGTAGCTGAAAGCTATTGTGTTTGTTAACAAAAAGCACTACGCTAAAAGCTAAAGCTAGTGTAAAGATCTTTCGAGTGTTTTGAGTTTTTGAGAGAATGAAAGTTGATGAGAGAGATTACGAAAGCTATTGAAAACCGTAAATCAACGAGAGCAGAATCATCATCAGGGATCGTAGAATCTGGGCTTCCCGCTGGGAGACTTAAAGTGTGATAGAGTAGTTTGCGGGGTAGTAATCCTACGTCTCTCACGATCCTAAAACGGAACGCGTTGAAGTTTTGTCTAGGCTGGATCTATTAGCGTGGAAGTACTCCACGTGGCTAAATATCTGAGCGATGTTTCTCATCAATCTAGTATGACTAGCGCCGTCATTGAGAGACCCTGTCTCAATGACTATTCACGAGAGACTCAGTCATGAGTCGAACTCAAACCCTATCTGGATCGAGTCGCGAATAAGGCTAAGAGCCGTGTATTGCAATTGCATCACGGCAAGGGCACTCAACACACCATGTTCACGTCGCGCGCGATCTCCACGCTGTAATTGTCAAATTCAAGTCGTTGCTAGCGCAAAAAGTTGATTTCCATCTGGACGTCGAAAACTACCACGCTGAGAAACCACGCCAATCAACACCGTTTTTGCGAAGTGGGTTTCGCTCCAGAGGGAGCTCAACAACAACAACTTGATTTGAAGGCTCACAAAATCGAAGTGGACCTACAATAGAAGGACTGCTACGACTACGAGCTGCACACACCCTGCATTTTATTATCTGTTGCATATCTACTCCATCTTGAGATCGACCATGAAGAGCACCGGTGGAAAGAACATCAAAGCAACAAAAAGGGCCGTCGCAAGGTGCTTGTGGCTACCCCCAAGCAAGTTCCAGCTGCTGCTGAAGCTCCTCCCAAGAAGCCAGCCCGAGAAGAAGCCGAAGAAGCCGAAGAAGCCAGCTCCCCCACAGAAGCCAACTGCGGTTACCCCTGTTGCTAAGGCCGACCTCGCTAACAAGGTTGACGTGGGAAAGTTGCTACAAACCCTGCCGTCAATCAGTCCTCCACTATGCTAACCAAACAGCCTGGTCTGTTCAACAGGTCGCAACCATTCAGCCTGCTGTAGTCGCCGTACATCAGCAGCATCCAACAACGACGCACTCGGTCTCCGAAACCAGCGTCGTGAAGTCGTCGCCGCCACTTCCAAGAAGGTCCTCAAGACAACTGGAGCTGGAACTGCCGTCGCGATCAAAAAGAAAGCAACGCCTGCCGGTGAATGACAGCTCGAAGCTCGATCTGACAAGCCTGCTGTTCTAGTTCGATGCCGTCCAGCTCAAGATAGCAGTCGCAACTCTCACAGTCGAGATGGTCGGAAAGCGTTGGTTCACGGACTCCTTACAACCCACCAGGTCGAAGACCCGCTGGTCTGAGCGGACTCGACATCGAGATCCAAAATTGGAGGTCGCTCCGCGCTCATTTCCAAGCTAGTGGCATTTCATGAAAGACACTGTATACAAGACCCGTATCCCTTCTGTCACGAAACGTCGAACTGTCGTCCAGCATTTCATGCGCATGGGAGTTCAACTTTGGAGTCTCACTATTGACGAACAGCGCAAGGTGCTCTCCCAGGAGGACGCCACGTGATACGCCGCCTCGGAGAGTGATATGAATGGAACGACCCTGAGCAGCCATTCATTGAAGTTGACGACGACAGTGACGAAGAAGGAGCAGGACGAGGACAAGAGCGAGACTTAAGCGAGGACGAGGTTGATCTACGAAAATCAAGAGATGGAGCCACTAACCACTACATTGCATGTTTGAGTTTTTTTAGAGTTTGACATCGTTGTGGCAGCAAAGAGGACTACGTGACAAAATTTGCTACCCCTTCGGTTCAAGAG